CAAGAGAGAGTGAAGAAACATCGACAAAGCCAAAAATCAACTTTGCTCCGATTAGAATGAAGCTCTAAGTGAGCTCTACCTTTTTATCAAAAGGGACTAGGGTGTAGAGATCAATGGATGATAGTGTATTTGAAGGTAGAAGATGAGTTCTAAAGAGAGAGAGTAGATCTGAGATTTTGGAATGTTTAGAGAGAGAGAGAGATGAAAAAGTGATCCAAAAAGTGACTTGTACGAATTGATATACATGCAGATCACTTGAGCAACCAAAACACTGCTCGACGACCAAGCATAATAAGTGAGACCGCTCGAGCGAACAAAGTTACTGTTTGACAAAAGTTTTACAGACAGAGGCTAATCGCTCGAGCTCAAGAAGGACCGCTCGAGTGCAAGAAACACTGCTCGAGCAAAAAATACTATCCTCCCAGTACTTTTGCAAACCTGCAAATATACTGGAAGTTCCTAAAGACTGCTCGAGCGACCAAAGGACCACCTGAGCGAACTGACCAAAATCTAGGCAAGGACTCCTTTGAAAAATGGACTCCCAACCTATTCTAAACACAACAATGATATCCAAATAACCAAACTTAATCAAGAATAAGATGTATAAGGGTATGAACAACCATTGAAGACAAGGAATCCCGAATCTAAAACAATAAACGGGTTGGGTTTAAACCAGAATCGTTATACCCTAATTGTGCAACTTCTCTCTCTTTGTAAAACCCACATTCATAACTTACTCTCGCAATCCAAAACTGAGACAAAGAGAGTTTGACAAGGAAACAAATATAAATAAAGATCTTGAAGTTGTAGCGCCTAGTTTAAAAAACTAGTGTCGAATAAACATTGTTAGTTCAGACATATACTATAGTGTCCCGAGTCTTAAATCTGACTTAAACCTACTTATATGGATGTCTTGATATGCTTTCGATCCCTTGGAATGACATGAGTTATGTTTTGATGATTGTGACCGAGTCAGTGTAAATTCCCATTCAACGTATAACATCTTTAATATTTGAGTTTCAAGAAGGTGCGGCGAGGCTGTCTTTTACATACGGATTGGTGTAGAAAAGGTTGGTAATTTCTGGGCAGAGTGATAGATTACATGTGAGAGAGCAAGTGATTGCACAATTGATCGCCTTGAAAGAAGATAAGAATGAATGATGAAAAATTTCCAAAATTTTGAGTTTGTCAGATCGACGATCACTTCTGTCAAAACAAAGCTCTTGACACACTCTTCACTTTCGTCCAAAGAACTAGCGTCAAATTCTTGCTAGGTTGGGTTAAGTTAAGAATTTTGTAAAGTTCATTATGGATTTTAGAGAGAGAAGAGAAGAAGAGGTGTAGAACGAGTGAGTATTAAGGAAAAATGAAAGAAAGAGGAAGATGAGGCATCATATAAAGAAGAGATGCACAAAAATCGAGGCAAAAACATCCTAGACCGCACATGTGGTGACCCCCTCTACATGTGCGGTGCCCTTCTGCCGCACGTGCGGTTTCTAGCAGTCTTCAACCAAGGCTTGCTGCACGTGCAAGAAACATCACCGTACATGCAAAGCTTATCACTGAACGTACGGAAACTCTCATTGCGCGTACGGAGCCTGCACTAATTCGTATGTGTGGGACACTCCCGCTTCACAAGCAACCACACCTATTCAAGTCCAAATCTTCCAAAGGTGTTTCTACATTTTTCTTTTTCGTCTTTACGCTTGAAACTCAAAATTTTACCTTGCTAAAACCTTAAGGAATACGCAAGACACGAACCAACCACAACCATTTAAGGCAATAAATGACGTACACGGCTACGAGAAATAAGACAAAAGGTCTGAATACATATGTTTAAGTGGAGTCAAAGATCACATCACAAATTGAATTTTCTATAAATAAATATATCTTCACAAAAATAAAAATAAAATTTGTCGATAAAATTAGTATCCATAATTTTGTAATATGTTAAATTACTAATTGAGGCTTGTTACATATGGGCTCAAGGCACAAGATACAATCATGAAAAAAAAAAAAAAAAGCAAAAAGCTTTTTACTAATTTCATAATAGTTTTTACTTATTTCAAGACTTTTTACATTTTTTTTTCTTTATTTTCAATTTTTTTGGGAGGTCGCAGTTCAGAGGTCTATTTCTGAATTGTTCCCAAACTGAAATATTTTTAGGGCAAAATGACATAATTTATCAAAAAAGACATGCTATATGTTCAAAAGCTTAACTATCTATTCGAAAGCTTAATTATTTGTCTATCTGTTCAAATATTATCCATTTATTCAAATGCACTTATGTGTACACATGTCACTTATTTGTTCAACTATCTATTTAAATATGTAACTATTTATTCAAATATCTAACTATCTGTTCAAATGTATACATCTGTCACCTATCTGTGCAACTATCTGTTCAAATATCCAACTATCTGTACACATGTCCCTATCCAACTATATATTCACATATCTGTTCAATATCACCTATCTGTTGAACTTATTGTCACCATTGTCCACCGGCGACTCTCTAGTCAATTTTTCAGTGACTTTTCAACGCGTGTCTCTTATCAAATAAAATTAATTCTTAGACCTAATATCTAATGCACCGCACAACTTGAATTTGCCGCCAATTTTTATTTATTTATTATTTTATGAATTTTTTATTAGTATTAAACAATGAGGATAAGATTTGTTGTGTTAGCATTTGCATTCTAAGAGTATCTTTATCAAAATAGTCAAATTTTTAATTAAATTTTAACTAAAAGTTTAATTTTCTATTTTAGCTAACCATCTTTTCAAATATATTCTCCAACAGACTCTTTATTCTTTATTTCATTTGTTGAGTCATCTTTCCCGAGTTACATGTAACTAGTGGTTTGATATTCAACTAAAATAATTAGCCAATAATTGAATTTGATAGAATTTGTTTCTATGATTTTGTAGTATAAAATAGCTAAAAGAAGACTAAGGCTTTGTTTGGGGTGTACTAATAAGTCCACACTTTTTATCTTTTTATCTTTTTTCCATCACATCACCTCTTTACTTTTCTGCATCTTTTCATAAAAAGTCAAAAAATACACTTATTTAGATCATCCCAAACCACCCCTAACTTGATAATGATACTCTAATATTAACAAGTGCTTAGTGAACGTATTAACATTTGCCCAACACAAGTGCAAGTAGTGCTGTGCAAAATACCACAAAATCTACTAAAATCGTGCTGATCTACATCATTCCATAAATTTTATAATTTGCCTTTAAAACCGTTCCGTTCTGCTATAGTTAATAAATATATGTTTTTTAATCTCTAACAAAATATCAAAGTAAAAATAAGTGTAAGAGAGATTTAAGATGTAAAATTTATTATAAATTAATAGTTATACATACAAAAAAAATATTATATAAAATTAATTTATGATATATATATATATAAAATATTATACAAATTAATATTATATATTATATAAATATTTGATAATTAATTATAATATTCTTCAATTCATTTAAAATCGTATAATTCACACTTTATCAATCCGTCATTTAATTAAGGGTAAATTATAAATACATCTCTTGAGTTTTGTTTAAAATATGAATTATTTCCTATGGTTTGAAAAATTACAAATACCTCCCTGTCAGAATTTTTTGTTTCATAGAATTAATTGAAAAAGTAAAATTTCTAACTGTTCACCTATACAATAATAAATTATTTAAATTATTAATTAAAATAAAATTTTAATATTATTAAAAATTATTAATTAACTTAATAATTTATTAATAAAATGACCTATTTTTATATTTCATAACAAATTACCCCCTAATTTCTTATGCAAATATAACATTCAGGGGAGAATTCGTAATTTCTCAAACCTCAGGGGTATTTGTAATTTAGCCAAACCTCGAGGGGTGTATATGTAATTTGCCCTATAATTTTTAAAATAATTTATAATTTAAATAAACTGTGTGTTTGTAATTTACCGTTTAATTAATAATTTTATTTTAAAACCGTCGCGCTCACCCGTAAGCGAAAGGCATCTGTTGTAGGAGATGCTCTCTAATGTAAACGTGTGTCTGATGGTGTTTGGGAAGTGAGTTTTTATGTAGATTTTAGTAGATGTAGGTTTTTATGAGATAAAAAATTTTTGGTGTTTGGGAAGATAGTTGGGTTTTTATATGGTTGGATGTGATGTTTGTGAGAGAAAAAGTGAAATGATTATGGAGTTGGATGTGATATTTTGTTTGAATGTGTTTTTTTTGGTTTTGCAAAATTTTTGTCTTTTAGTGAAAAAAATGAGAAAAAAATTTGGGAACTTGCTTTACTAAAAGCATTTCCAACCTCGAACCAAAGTTTTCATTAAATCTGAATAAAAAAATGACTTTTTTCTCAATTTGATACCGAGTGCTTCAACGGTTGATTTTCATCAAATTTGTGCCGGGATAACCAGTTGGTTGACCGGTTAAGCCAATTTTTTTTGAACTGTTTGAACCTTTTAGTGGTCGATCGGCCGGTCAACTGGATGGTCGATCGGTAAGACAATTTTTTTTTTTTTTCAACTGTTTGAACTTTTTTTGGAACTGTTTAAACCTTTTGGTGGTCAACCGGCCGGTCAACCGGTTGGTTTCTCCCAACGGTCATGCGCAGTATTTTGGTGAAATGCGGAGCCTGTCCTCCTTTTGGTGAAACGTTTGGTGAATTCTCGATTTGATATCAATTTGGTAAAACCGTTAGAGCTGCAAACAGTGTTTTTTTTCTCCAAATTTCAAATTTAATGCTAGGTTTGGTGGAGGGTTGGAGATGATCTAAATTTTTACAAATATTACCACAACACCACCACCATTCCCTCCACTTGTTTTTTTTTTGTTAAAAATATTTATATTTAAAAATATTTTCTGTCCAAACGGACGTTTAGATCATTAATTTTAATAGAAAAATAAAACAAAAATAATTTTAATCATTCGAATTTAAAACCCTCAAGGCTCAATCGAGGACTATAAATACACATCACTTCTTCATCTCACAATCACCCATTCTAAGAGCGGGAATTTTAATTCCAGAATCCAAACAGAAACCGAGTCTCAACTCCAAAATTTTCTCGCGAAACAATCATTAATCCTGTTCACCACCTTTCTCTGTCGTTGAAAAACTAGCTCTCCCAATCGGCCCTCCCCCTCATCTCTCTAGCCAGAGTTTCGAATCTGGTTCCAAATCCTCTGAAATCGCAACTCCTTGTTTTATTTTTTCCCTGGAAACAAACAGTAACCAACTATGGCTGAACCTTTCTCTGAAGTCCTTCTCCCCCCATCCGTCGAATCGATGCTCCAGAAAATCTGTATCGAACAATGTCAATCGCCTCCGGATACTTCGGTCCGAAAACAGCTTGAATTGCTCGGCGAAGAAGTGTCTCTTGAGATCCTCGGAAAAATCTCCACACAAAAAATTTACAAAACGTTGAGCGGTTTCATAATGCATTTAGCCAAGAACTACGCTAGAGCTCCTACTCAGCAAGGCATTTATCAATCACCTCATAAACGGAGCTCAGATGATTGCTATAGTCCAGTGAATTCACCAAGTAAAATTTATTTTTTTAATTTTTAAATACTGTCTGTTGTGAAAATTGGAGTTTTGCTTACTTTGGGTTTTCTGAACTCGTTTTTATACAGTTTAGCTCTGTTTGTTTTCTCGGAAAATGAATTTGACGTGGTTCCGCCTGGAATTTCTTGTCTAAAGTTTGGTTAGGAGATTAGGATGAAAATGATGGAAAAGGAAATGGAAGTATATATATACTCCCCCCCGCGGCCGCGAAGCTGTGGTGTGGAAGTCACGAGAAAGTTATGTTTTTGTACAACTCTTGATAGTTTTTTTGGACAGTCAACTCTTGATAGTTTGATAATCAAATTTTTAGTTTATTGCAAAAAATATAAAAATAAAAAGAAAGGTTATTTGTTATAGAATTTTTCTGATCTTTTCTTGCAAAATTTTTATTCTCATTAAATTCGCATAGGAATGTATATATATATATATATATATTACTTTATTTATTATTATTATTATGTATAATCAAAGCCGTTAATGCGTATGTTGAGAAATTGGGTATATTTTAGCATCTTATGCTGTGATACATATATGCACGCAGCATATATATATATATATATATAGTATATAAGATGGTGTTTGAAAAGTAGTTATTTTTATTTTCCATTGTATCAAAAAAAAGAAAAAGAAAAGAGTAGTTATTTTAATTAATTTTTTAATTTTTAAAAAAAGAATGTGTAGACTGTTGTGATTGGGTAATTTTGGCCATTCCAAACGGGGCCTAAGTTTGTTGATGGAGGCATCTCAGTGTTTTGACCATTTGTTGCCAAAAATTTCCGGTTTCTGGTTTTTCTTTGCAAGTTTGTGGGCACATATGCATTTGTATAGACATTCGTGCTCTAGAGAATGACATCAGGGACACGAGACGGAGGTTTCTTTGGAATGTTAAGCTTATATGCACACATCTAGATCATGTGTTCTAATTTTCATTTTTTCTTTGCATTGAATGCACTCAACTGTAATGAGTCTCCCTTGATTTGGATAAAATTTGAGTAAAACACAATTTGGTATTAGTTTGGGTCAGGGAGTGGAGGGTGTTTTGAGTGATTTTTTTACCAAAATTTAAATTTGATGTAGGTTTGAGTCAAGTATTTTATATCACACCTACAAATTATTTTGTTGTATTTTGTTGTATTTTTTTTTTTTTTTGCATTAAATGCACTCAACTCAACTATGATGGGTCTTTTGTTTTTTTTGAAGATGAGTTTTAAATTCCAGTCTGTAGAGATGAGATTTGTGTCAAGTTTCTCTTCACATTTTTATGTGGGCGCAGATGGTGTTGGTTCTCATTCACAAGTCTCAAAGCGGCCGGTATTCTCACCGAGTTCCGAGGGGGCAAGCACTCAGAAATTGAGTCCTCAGTTGTTAGCCCTGAGTGAACTAGAGTTCAGGAAAGGATTCTTGATACTAAGTTACATTGGGAGGTGATATTTTTTGTCTTTCATTTCACTGTTAATTGCAGTGTATTGTTATATACCAGGTTGGGAAAATTGAGCAGCTGTTTGTTATCTGCAGTAACAAGTTGGAGGACTTCATGTCAGCCCATGACATTTCAAATCTCAAAAATCTTCCAATGAGGAGTTTTGAGGCAAAAGTTTGGGATGATTATGGTGAGCAGATTAAACACTGCAGCGATAAAGACCGGCCTAAGGTGACTCTTCGTTTGTTCTCGCCTGATGGTTTTATTTCTCAATTTGATGCCTTCAAGTTGATAAGCTACCTAGATATATCCTTATTTTGTCCAGCAAACAGTCAGTCAAGAATTCTCAGTCCATTAGACTGACTCTCTCTCTCTCTCTCTCTCTCTCTCTCTCGATAAGTTATTCATTTCTACGATTAAAAATCTAACTTATGCAAAGTGATGGCTATTGAATAACATCAAGACAATAGATTCATTAAATGGTTCAATACCAGCCGCCTCTTGTCCTGGTGTCCTTTTTGAAGGACAGCCCCCAGTCCTGTCGGTAACCTTCCATGTATGCCTGTATAATCTTCAGACCTGCCTAGAATATTGAAAAAGTAAATATGAAAGAACAAACACACACACACACACATATCTCAGAGACTTCACATTTTTATAGTAATGTTTTTACATGTGGATATCCACACACACAGGTGCACAAAATCCTTACATACCCCAGGAGTAAATGTAGTCGAAACCCCAGAAACAAATCTCAACGCTTTGTATGATGAGTAGCTGGGATCTGCATACACTTCTGAGACCAAAGACAAATCTTGTTATTATGATGCAATAATATGTCAAAAATATCTATAAGACCCTTTTAATTTGAGAAACCTCAAAGTGCCCTTTTCCAACTTATGTGATAACAAGCAGGTACTGGCTAGCTTGCTTGTGAAGCTCTAAGTAGCATAAAAGTACATTGCATCATAAAAATTGATGTGTATATAGATATATATGTATGAGTTGTAATTGCAATTAATGACTGACAAGCAAGTGGAATGGTCGTTTTCCGTTATCACATCCATTCTTGGTTGTTTCCTATAAATAACCTCATTGGATATACAAGAATTCAAATTTGAAAGATTGACAATCTATATGAAGCATACCTCCTTTGAATTTTGTTTGCTCAGAGAATGCTTTTGCCTAGAGGGGAAAAAAAATTACAATAGTTATTAACTAATCCGAACCTATTTGCATGATGATGTAAGTAGTTCGGTGGAGACAATAACCGCAATTGGGAAAATAAATAAATAAATAAACAGGGTATGAAAGAGATAATTCAATGATGCATTTATCATCACCAACTCACTTCTAAGACTGTATCGGCACATACCTGATCTACGCTACCTGGTCCAATTAGAACAAGTGCCACACCAGCTGCATCCATTATATCCTGTTAACAGAAGAAGCATTACTGCAATAAACTTCTTTATAGACTAAGTGCCATGAAAATAAATCAATCACCTGTAGACCAAGCAAATTATAATTTCAAAAATCCAGATGTTGCCAAAAGCTTGCACAAAACATGCATATCTTTTGTATTTATGGTAAACTTGGTCTAATTACCAAGGGAGTAAAATGAATTGTATCTTCATCATCAAGAAAACTTCACTATATTTTGATGATACACACAAAATGTGCTCCATCAATGCTCTAGCAATTTTATCGAATAGGTGGGTCTGTAATCTATCATTACCTTCTTTGCAGCAAGATAATCAGCACGTTTGCGACAAAGAACACATCTGCAAAAACACATATAAGTAGACAGGTGATCAGCTAAATTTGATATACCATACATTATATGAGTTATGCTAAAAAGTACCCGAAATGACGAGCAAATGCAACAACTGCTTTCCTATCTTTCCACAAATCAGAAATTGGTACACCATTCCCATTCAAATCAAACACTTGTACTGTATCCAATAAGCTTGTGGTGTCTTCACTCACCTCAGAAGATGCAATTCCTGTTTCACATCAAGAAATCCAATCACACAATAAATAACACATTGAAGCAACACCTACATTTATAGAAATATGTTTTGAATTTGCCCCCCAAATCTTTTATATCCACTTTTTCCTTTTTCAACAAAATCCTTGCGATTTGCCCCCTCTAAATGTTTATTTTGCTGGAAAATCCCCCTTTATATACTACTACTCTGTGATTTGTTTCTCTACTCTACCCCCTCTCTCATTTCATCAGACACCAAACTCGTACACATAGACAGTTGCACACATTTTTTAAACTAACACACCAGATGTTTGATAAAATTCCCAAACCAAATTCCAATAGGTTGTTTAACATATGTAACTGATTCATTTACTAGATCATGTATTATCGGCTGAGTAGCAATGTTTATGGTTCCTCCATCGGTTTTATTCATTAATTCCTTTATGTTTGTTATACTCGATTATTATTAATTTATTTTGTATTTTTTTAAAAATAAATTTTGAGCATGCAATATCGAGGCCTCTTTAATTGCTTAGTTTTATTTTATAACAAGCATTTGGAAAATTGTTAATAAATAAGGTGGAACTATGATTACAACCCAAACCAAAACTTGCAACTGACCCTAACCAAACCAACCATACTTCTCTTCTTTTCTTTTTGTTTGCTCTTTGCTTTGTTTCCATTTTTCTTTTTCTTTATTCTTTTTTCATTTTGTTCTTTCTCTTCTTTTTTTTTCTCTTGCTCTAACTTTTGCCTGGGTTGCTCTTCTGGGTTTTTGGCCCTGCGAGCCTCTAAGGATAAAAAAGTTTAACTTGTCCATGTTGATTGGCTATAGGATCTCTAAGCCATCTAGATCCACGAGAATGGCTGTTGTCGCTGACTAAACAGTCTTGATGATGTAAGAGCCCATCCAATTGGGTCTGAATTTGCCCCTAGTGCTGTTGACAGGAACTCGGTTGCCCTTTCAACAGAAATTTTCTTCTCCCCATATTCTGGGATTTGGCTATCTTGCCGATCTTCATTGGCTTGAGAAATAACCTAGTTTTGAATCTTAGAGCATATTTGACATTTTTGCCCCTAGTTCAAGAGTTGTTTCTAATCTAACTATGCAAGCTTCCTTTGATCACATCTGACCCTCTTGCCCCTATTTCAAGGGCGCTTTTAAATCCGGCCATGCAAACCCATATTTTTGGTTGATCATTGAACATTCTGAATCAAGTTCAAGATTTGAAAGCAAAAGGTCGCGTCTTGAGGCTGAGAGTGTCCCTATGCTGTACAATCTCAAGATCAATTCCAGGCATGTCTTCGCAAACCACACAAAACACTTTTGAAATCTTTTAATAAAGCGACTAATTGCCCGTGTTCTGCTGAAGACAATGTAGAACCAATCTGGACCAAGCCAGGATCCTTCTCAGTACTCACATTAACAGATATGATTTCAATCATTAAGGGCTTAGTGCGCCTCTCTTCCTCTCAGTCGATCAATTTTTTGCAAATCTCAAGGAATTCTTTTTCTTCTTTTCAACACAGTGTTAGAAAAGTTTTGAAAAAACTTAGGTCAATGCAATGACTTAAAGGCACAAAAAAGTAGGTGAAAAAAT